TGAAATCGGAGGGTCATCCGACTTCTATATACTAATTTTAATTTCAAATTGCAAAGAAGTTAAAACGCGATGTACAAGAAAACCCTAACCTGATCTAATAAATAAAATAAACAGTGTGTACGAATTTTACACGATCGTACAGTCGTGGTCACTATGCTCGCTCAAAAATATAAAATACAACCAGTTCCCGTGTCGCTTCGGACCATTCGTCCTACGACATGATGGGAACCGGAGGAATCGTAAAGCATGCGACTCACCGATCGCAGACATACACCGCTCAAATCGCATCTCAGGTTGATCCATCGATCGATTGTCTAATCAGGTAGCAGTCCAGAGTCATCTCAGAGATCCAGGATTGATTGACTGTAGTTGTATGGTCAGGATTGGTCGCACTTGTATGGTCAGGATTCGGTTCCTTGTCCATTGGATCGGTCCTTGTCCTTCTGTAAGCACAGCAATCACAACGATTAATCATCTTTGAATATTTCGCATTTTTCAAAATGTACACTTTTAAATTTGTCATGCAGACATGCAGTAAATAAGCAGTTCTGATTTTGCTGATATTCAACGTATAAACACATGCATGCAACACAAACAACTACTACGCAGAACTGTACGTTACACAAAACATGATATCAAGTTTGAAAAAATATGTCAAAGCACGTAGTTAACCACACTATTAAATACGTCAAATCATTTGCAAAAGTACGTTAAAATAAGTATGCAACTATACCACAAAGCACAGTAAATTATTTGTAAAAATATGTCAAATCTCATAGGTAACTACACTACGCATTCACTAAACCGTTTGTTGAATCATGTCAAAACTCGTATGTAGCTACACCACATATCCATTAAAACATTTATTAAATAATATCAAAACTCGTATATAACTACACCATAAACCCACTAAAACATTTATTAAATTATGTCAAAACACACCATAAACCCATTAAAACACTTGCACAATTATGTCAAAGCACGTAAGCAACCACCCGCGAAATGCACTAATATGGCCGCCCACGCATGCGCAGTCACTTGTAAACCCGAGAAAGCGCGCCAAAAAATATCCGTATATGCATGCACAATTAATTGTAGTAATACACGATTAAACACCATAATAATTCAAGCACCACACCATAAAACGTGTTAAAATATCCGTATATGCATGCACAATCACTTGTTGTAATGCACTATTAAACACCATGACATGTCACAAATAACACCGTAAAATCCATTAAAATATCCATATATGTATGCACAGTCACTTGTAGTAATACACCATAAAACACCATAATAAATGCAGTATTGCACCATAAAACACCATAGTAAATACAGTAGCACACCATAAAACGTGTTAATATATCCGTATATGCATGCCCCATTACATGTAGTAACCCATTATTAAACACTATGACACATCACGAAACACACCATAAATTGTATTTTCAATTCCCGTATTTATGCACAAATATTATTTAAAATACACTAAGCACTAGTATTAGAACACTATATAACACAGTAATAAATTATAAATCCATTGTACGGATCGTTGACTCGTACCAGTGAGTGTTGACGTGACGGGTCCGACCTCCTCGACACCTTCAATAAGACTGACGAGGTTCGACATTGCTCGAATGCAAACTATTGGACAACAATCAGCCAATAATGCAATCGGCCAATCATATGCACGGAAATTCAGCCAATTACGGAAACTTACCTGAAATTGCATTAATTACGTACTTTTTTTTAATTTTTGGTTTTGCAATTGTTTGTTAATACTTTTGTTGTTACAATTATTTACGTTTTTTATACTAATCACCGATCGGACAATAAATATCGGTTTAAATTATATTTTTCGTGTGATATAAAATAATTATAAATTATAAGATGTTTTTAACTATAATTTCAATTTTGCAATAATTTATTGTTAAATTATTATTATACGTATTAAATTCATGTATTTTTTTATTTTTCAAGTAGCAATTTCTTGTTTTCTTGTTTGTCTTTTTATGTGAATTGTAATAATAAATTATTAATTATAAATTGTTATTAATTTTTATTTTTATTTTTTAATAAATAATTATTCAATTACTATTTTTCCTATTGAAGTTCGTGTTTTTATTAACTTTGAAGCTTCCAAATGTTGTAAATTTTATTTCATTTTGCAATTAATTTTATTTTTGCAATTATCTTTTAGTTAATTTGTTAAAGCTTTAGTTTTCATCTTTTTATGAATCTTTCACGGGTTGCCTACAAAATTTTTGTTAATTACTACACTTTTATGTGTGAATATATTGAGAACGATTTTTGCAATTATTTTTTTTTATAAACAATATATAAAATCATTTATTTTTTAAAGTTTCCACTCTGATCTCTAGATGACGTTAATAATACCGTTTCCAAAATAGTAACGTAAAAAATGGAACATGCAACCATAATTTGTATAACACTTTTAACTTATTAAATTGTTAACTTAACAATAAAATACATGCTTTCCTATTACTCTACAAATTAAATTTAAGTAACATTTAGTATAACTCCATTTTATAAATGCTTCAAAAATAAAAATTGCTCATCTAATTTTAAAGATGATGTCTATCTAAAAAAAACTATACGTTGTTTTATTAAATTAATATCAAATTTAATTATATACCACTGTACCAAGTTAGATACTTTCAGTAACTCAATATCGTAGTATTTAAAAAAGTGGAAGAACCTAAATGTTTATCGTGGAAAATGGATAAAATTAGGTTCTCGTGCGAATGTAAAGAGGTCAAGGCAATCGTCCATTTCGTGCAGGAGGTTCCAACTGTCAACTTCCGGTAGTAACACTCGCACGTTGTTATTTCGTCAAGCTACATATAATCATTTTACCACAGGTTATTTCAGATTTTCGAAATTCTACATTCTCAAGTTTTTAAGTTCTCAAGAGTACAAGTTTTCTAAGTTCGAAAATTCTCAAGATTCCAAAATTTTCAAATTCCCAAGATCCCAAGATTCCAAGCTCTCAAATTTCCAAGATCTCAAGATCCCAAGATCCCAAGATTCCAAAATTTTCAAATTCCCAAGATTCCAAGCTCTCAAATTTCCAAGATCTCAAGATCCCAAGATCCCAAGATTCCAAGCTCTCAAATTTCCAAGATCTCAAGATCCCAAAATCTCCAAGATTCCAAGCTCTCAAAATCCCAAAGTCCCAAATTTCTAAATTTCCAAGATCCCAGATACTCCAAGTTCCCAAATTCCAAAAATTCCAAATTCGCAAGGTCCCTAATTCCCAAATTCCCAAAATTCCAGATCTCAAGATCTCCAGATTCCAAACTCCCCAAGTTCTCAAACTCCCAAATTCCCAAGCTCCCAAAGTCCCAAAAACCTTCAAATCCCAATATCTCCAAAACCCCAAAACCTTCAAATCCCAATATCTCCAAAACCCCAAAACCTTCAAATCCCAATATCTCCAAGCTCCCAAAACCTTCAAATCCCCACGTCCTCACCCCAAAACCTCGCAATCTCTTCCAACTCCCAACGTTCAGACCCCCCTGCGTGTTCAAAAACCTAGAAGAGATGATAGAAAGCGATGAAGATTCGACTTATAGTGAAAAGACGCGTTCTCGATGTTACCTCAGCGACGATAATAAAACGGAAACGCGTGATCGCGGTTGGGAAGCGAGTGTAGGCGAGGGCGGGCAGCGGCGAAAAGAGGGATGATCGAGGGCGAAAGCGAGGCAAAGGGACGAGGAAATGTAGAACGGGAACGCTAAGCGGAATCGCGGAACGAAGCGTAAACCCAAGCCGAAAGTCGAGCGACGCCAAAGTTAAATATAAATGTCGCGGCAAGCGGTCCAGGACCGATGAACCAGCGGACCGATCAGTCTCTTCGTGGTCTTCGTCGTGGACCGACTACGAAAATCGACTACGATCCGTCATTGCCCGCGATCAATTTTTTATTTTCGACACGATTATTCGCTTCGATCATCGCGGCTTTAGCCGACGGTGTTATCGCGAATCCGAAACGATCGAACTTTCTCGATCTACGGAACCGAATCGATCCGACCTGTGCATCCTTCTTTTGGATTTTCTGACACGGTGTTACTTGGATATCGTTCTCTTCTCTACGACTCGACTTCGGTATTGTTTTTCTCATTTTTAATATTTTTATTTTATGTGCGTGATTATTTTTATTTAGCATTGGTACTCTGATATTTTGTGAAATTTGAAGATTGTGACGAAGTTGAACTTCATAGGGGCAGAACTTCCTATTCTGCGGTCATATTTAGGGGCGAAACATGTGTGCTGTATTAATATGCATGTTGTTATTAATTCATGAATATTTAGATTTTTATGTGATTAGTAGCATGTATAGGTACATAGCATATGTCTTGGATTCTTATACTTACATATATTACATATCTCTACGCCTCAGAATCCATGTGTCTCGACAGTACTACGTCCCCATATGCCTACGTTCTGATATCTCTACACCCCAATATCCCTACATCCTTATATCTCTACGTTCCAATAGCTTTTCGTTCCAATATCTCTACGTTCCAACATCCCTACGTCCCGATTTTCCTACGCCCAAATATCTCTACGTCCCGATATCTCTACGCCCCAATATTCCTACGCCCCAATATTCCTACGTCCCGATATTCCTACGCCCAAATATCTCTACATCCCGATATTCCTACGCCCCAATATCTCTACGTCCCGATATCTCTACGCCCCAATATCCCTACGCCCCAATATTCCTACGTTCCCATATCCCTACGTCCCGATATTCCTACGTCCCAATATTTCTACGTCCCGATATCTCTACGTCCCAATATTCCTACGTTCCCATATCCCTACGTCCCGATATTCCTACGCCCCAATATCTCTACGCCCCAATATTTCTACGCCCCAATATCCCTACGTCCCCATATCCCTACGCCCCCCTATCCACATCACCCATAACCTTATGTCCCCATATCCCTAGACCCCACCAATATTTCCAACTCGTACCCATCCCGACATCTCCACACCTCCAAACTCCCCATATCCCCAAATCCTCATCTACAACTCCCAACTCAAATTTCAACACCGCAAGCATTAAACACTGCATCCCCAGTAACAGGGTTCGTTAAACTCTTCGACCGGCTCAGTGTTACGCTGTTTATTGTTCGTGCACAAATTTATTTTGCTTCTCTTTTAACCTTACCGAACCCCTTACTCAGAAATCATCGTTGGTGGTCCAAGATATTTTTGAATGTTCCCACTTTTGAAGTCCTCCGGTTCAAAGTATAATATTTATGAACTTTGTATATGATTTATTTAACAAATTACATAGCATGGCACACTTTGACAATAGCTAGTTCCTTTGTGCAGTAGATCTTATTCTCTAAGAGTCTCGTACTCCGACAAATCTTCCGACAATCCCCTACTTAATCCGTGTCTGACCAGTTGGAAGTCGGATTTCAACGGCAATCGTTCAACGGAGTTTAATTTTCGGTACGAGCAACCTGTGTCAGGAGCAACCGTTCTGAACGAAGACTATTTCTGTTCGTTAATTCGGCAGTAATCTTATTTTGGGACGCAGCATCCGAGGTCCAGGATCCAGTGGGCTAGTGTTCACAGATAACGGCAAGCTTCTTTTGACGCGACAGACTTTCAAACTTTAGTTCCCTATAATTTTTTACTACAAGATGGACACGTCATGTTTGACATACGTAAATTGATTCTAATTAAGAAGTACATTTACTCATACACATACGTCAAATGTACTCATATGTTCATCCATGTGCCATGTAAGCTTCCATCAATGTCTTCCAATGGCTTCCATAATGATACCAAAAGAATTTGTGCACTAACTTTGTAATCCATAAAAATCTCCCTGTACCGCAAAAAGAAATCAGATCAGATAAACTTAAAAGCTAACAAAGTTTCTATAGCAAGTTCCCCTCAAGATAAATCGTGAACGTTTTCTCTTTACATTACACGTATGAACATACGTTGCACTTGAGTGCAAGCGAGTTCTCGTTTTGTAAATCCGACGAAGTTTTCGTTGAAGGCGCTTCCTCCAGAAAGCGTGTAATTCCTTCGTCGGCGCGAGGGAGTCTTCGATTTGTATTTTTATCCACATTATACGAGGAACTTGTGCCCACCTGGGTTTCGTATGCACGCGGGTTATCGTTGTCGAGTGGTGTCGTTTATAAATAGACCGACAGTCGATTCCTCTGGATGCTTTATCGAATATCGGTGGAACGAACTCGAACGACCGCGAGTCGAACCCCTCGTAATGGCGCTCGTGAACTCTAACAAGAACAAAATGGACGCTTTGAAGGCTAACGTCGTTCTTTATCGTATGCTTTAAAAATAGGGCTTTAACTCGAGTATTTTATGTGTTAGCTTTGGAGAAAGGAGAGAAAATGATTTCTTGTTTGGGTTGAGAAAAGTGAAGGAGTTTAGTTTCAGGTTTGCAAATTTTGTGGTCATTTCTTTGTTAAGTTTGCAAATTTTTAGGTTTCTGAGTTAGTGGATTTATTAATTTTTAAATTACTAGGTTACAAGGTTCTTTGATTTCTAGATTTTTAGATTCTTAGATTACTGGATTGCTAGATTCCTACATTTTCAAATTTCTAAATTTCTTAATTCGTAAATTCCTAGATTCCTCGAGTCCAAGATTTCTAGATTTCTAGATTTCTAGATTTCTAGATTTCTAGATTTCTAGATTTCTAGATTCCTAGATTCATAGATTCCTAGATCCCCACCTCTCTAGTTCCCTAGATTCCTAGATTCCCACATACCTAAATTTCCAAATCCTCAACTTCCAAATTCTTAAATTACCAACTTCCCAAATTTGCAATCACCCAAGTACTAATCTCAAAATCCCCATTTCTCAAATTTCCAAATTCCCCCATTCTCTAATCTCAAAATCCCCAAATCCCCAAATTCCCAAATTCCCAAATTCCCAAATCCCCAAATTCCCAAATCCCCAAATCCTCAGATCCCCAAATTCCCAAATCCCCAAATTCCCAAATCCCCAAATCCCCAAATTCCCAACTCCCCAAATCCCCAAATCCCCAAATCCCCAAATTCTCAAATACCCAATCCTCTCATAATCCCATCTACCACAAAAAATTCCACTATTAGTACAACTAATCAACCTAGCCAAACTAATCATCGCAAACAAAGATCACCACAAGCTTCTTTGACCAACTAAAGATATCTAAAAGAAACACTACACTCTCCACAAAACCTGTACTACAAGTCTCTTTGGTACTCGATGAAGAGAATAGTTCACAGTTTATTTTTCCCAAAACGATTTGAATTTGAATGAAAGTCGCGTGTGGTACCGAGAGTGCAACAATGTCGGCGCCATCCGCAGTATACAGTGTCACCGGCAAGGCCAATTGTAGGTGTTAATATTCGCGTCACTTTCTGAAATATCTGACGCAGTCGTTGCAAATATACCTGCCGTGTCGGACGTGTCTATGGCCACCGCTCGAGTCTCTCTAAAATAGAAATGTCACTATATTTAGTCGGCCTACACTCGCTGTCCAGCCAAAAAACCTTCTAGACCTTCGACCTATGTCTCACCTAACTTCCTTGCATTTTACTTCGTCATGGTTTTATTAAGTCATCTTGTAAACCTTGTGTGAGGTACTCTTTGTAATTGAGGATGTGGTTATGGAGGATGTTCATATGTGGAGGACGTTCATATGAGGAGGACGTTCACATGTGTAGGACATTCCATATGTGGAGGACATTCATATATGTAGGACATTCATATGTAGAGGACGTTCACATGTGTAGGACATTCATATGTGGAGGACGTTCACATGTGTAGAACATTCATATGTGGAGGACACTCACATACGAAAGACATTCACAAACACATACATTGTGTTCATATCGTAAATTCTTCCTTCAATCTGAAATCAATTGTAGAGGAAAATTTGCTTGGAGTAAGAAGATTAGAAGTGATCTGTACGCAAAATCTTGGTCATCACAAAAATTCATCAGAATTTTAATAAAAAGTTAATTCTGAAAACAGTAAGGGTTCATAGTGTTCCTAAATACCTCGTTCATTAAATCTATCAATTACAAAGTAATATTTTTCCATGTAAATGTGGTATATTTCTCTACTCTGTGCAAATGTGATATCTCTCCAAAGTGAAAATCTTCAAAATTTATTTATTTTCTCCTACATCAAAGAATGACTAATTCTTAATTGTACAATTACAAATTACAGATAAGGGCATAGCCTGCGAGCATATCGTATTTCCACAAAGACGTGTTTAATGTTATTTTGTTATCTGCCAATGTACAGGAGATTAAGCACAGTTCCATACCTGTTGTCGAAAGAGCTCACGAGCCCGCTGATAAGCCAGCAAAGTACGCGGTGCAGTCGTTTCATTTAACTTCACCGACCACGATTTTGCACGTCCACATATTGTGTAACGTCACGCACGGCGCCGCGATTTGTACGTTACACATTTTTCACGCGTTAACGTGCACAAGTCAGTAGGAAGGCAGACAATCTAAGCGCCTATTTCGAGAGACTTTTGGATCACTGCCCAGCCTAATCTGCCTACTCACTGCCACTACGCGACCCAGAGCTCGTTAGACGTGCAAGACGCTTACACAGAATATCCTCTTTTCTTGTATCTTTAATTACGTCAGGAATTTTGAACTTTGCGAACTTTATGCATGAACTTAATGCATGAAATTGTTATGTCAGGTTCAATAAATGAGGTCTTAACACCAGCCACAACTTGAGAATAAAATAATGTGGCTGAACTTATGAACATCAAAGAAGGCACACCTTCATGAAATATTTTTATTGAATTGTTACATCAAGTTCAATAAATGAGGTCTTAATATCAGTCACAACTTGAGAATAAAATAATGTGGCTGAACTTATGAACATCAAAGAAGGCACACCTTTATGAAATATTTTTATTGAATTGTTACATCAAGTTCAATTAATGAAGTCTTAATATCAGTCACAGCTTGACAATAATGTAAGATGACTTCACCTATGAAAATCAAGAAGAGTATATCACTATAAAATATTTTTATTGAATTGTTAAATTAGTTTCACTTAATGATGTCTTAATATCAATCACAATTTTAGAATAAAATAATGTTACTGAACTTAAGTAAATCAAGTAAGGTACACCATCATGAAATATTTTTAATAAATTGTTAGGTCAACTTCACCTATGAAAATCAAGAAGAGTACATCATTATAAAATATTTTTATTGAATTGTTAAATTAGTTTCACTTAATAATGTCTTAATATCAATCACAATTTTAGAATAAAATAATGTTACTGAACTTAAGTAAATCAAGTAAGGTACACCATCATGAAATATTTTTAATAAATTGTTAGGTCAACTTCGTTAAATAAAATCTAAATATCAGTCTGAATTTATAAAAAAAAATAATATACCTGAACTAATGAACACGTTATTAAGAGAGTACACTATTAAGAAATATTCTTATTAAATTGTTAGATGAACTTCAAAACACAAAATCTAATTATCATCTACAACTTATCAAGAAGACAAAACTGAACCATCATGTGAAGCAAAAAAATGAACAGCATAACAAATTTTTATTAAACAGACTCTTTTTATTAAATAGTCAGATCAGTTTGAATAAACAAAATGTTAAAATCATTTGCAACTTGTCATCATATTAAAAAGACAGCACCATTAAAAAACTTTTTTTATCAAGTCAGATCAGCTTGAATAAACAAAATGTTAAAATCATCTGCAACTTGTCATCATATTAAAAAGACAGCACCATTAAAAAACTTTTTTTATCAAGTCAGATCAGCTTGAATAAACAAAATGTTAAAATCATCTGCAACTTGTCATCATATAAAAGCGAGAGCACCATTAAGAAACATTTTTTATTAAATTGTCAGATCAGTTTGAATAAGCAAAATGTTAATATAATTGTTTATCAATATGATTGCAGCGATGCTAGGTGATCGAAGCACGCCGGGTGAAGCTTCGAAATAGTAAAAGATGTCGCAGCCGCCATCAAAACCCCATGGAAAAGGCGGGCCAGGGGGTTGGTCGGCCAGACCCAACGTGCCAGGCCATTACAGACCCCCGTCGCCATATAGTCCTTCGAGTTCGCCGCATCCTCCGCGTCCTCGAGGACCACCGACACCGGTTCACCATGCTCATCCTGCGTCTCCTCTGACGTACTCCGGAATGATGCACCCGATGAGTCCGGTGCCTATAGGAATGCCGATTTCACCTGGTATATCCCCGGTTTTTGGATCGCCGACTAGCTACATACAGTGTCCCAGACCTAGATGGCCTTCGCCTCTTCCGATTGGGAGTCCTGCACCTAGACCTTACATACCCGCTCAGGTAAGTTGAAGATGTTCATTTATTTTTAATATGGTTGAGGTTTTTTAGTGTTGGAGATTGGGGTTTTTGTGTATATTGGGAGATTGGAACTTTGGATGAGTTGAGGTTATGGAGGATGGTTATGGGGGATGGACTTTGATGTGGGAACTGTGAATGTGAAAATGTGAAGAATGAGAATTAGGGACCTTAGAAATTCTCGTCGTCTAGGATTCGAAAATTCCTGAATTCTCAAGTCCCCAAATTCTTAAAGCATCGAATTCTCAAATCCCAAAATTCTCACATCACCTAATTCACAGAGTCCCCAAATCCCATACTGTTCAAATCCCTAAATCCCCAAATTCTTGGTCCTCCGGTCCTCCAAATTCCCACACCGTCCAATTCCCAAATCCCCAAATTCTTGGTTCTCCAAATTCCCTCACCGTCCAATTCCCAAATCCCCAAATTCTTGGTCCTCCAAATTTCCACACCGTCCAATTCCCAAATCCCAAAATTCTTGGTCCTCCAAATTCCCAAATTGTCGAATTGTCAAATCCCAAAATTCTCACATCACCTAATTCCCAAAGTCCCCAAATCCCATACTGTTCAAATCCCCAAATCCCCAAATTCTTGGTCCTCCAAATTCCCACACCGTCCAATTCCCAAATCCCCAAATTCTCACATCACCTAATTCTCAAAGTCCCCAAATCCCACACTCTTCAAATCCCCAAAACCCCCAAATTCTTGGTCCTCCAAATTCCCACACCGTCCAATTCCTCGAATTCCAAAATTCCCAAATTCCCACCCCCCAAATTCCCTAAACTCGAATCCCTCTCCACGTCCGAATTCACGCACAGAAATTCCCATTAACAGCCGCAGAAAATCGTTATCGGAAGATTGCATGTTAAAATCAACTGTCGGTAGAAGCGAGAGTTAACTGGCAGTGAAAGCCTCTAGGTTTCAAGGGTTCTCGAGAATCGAAATTCTTTTGAGTCACGGAACACAGAAGGTGAAAGCTCGGCCGCTTTACCTCGAACAAAAGGCACGATCTGGATGTTCGCGTTAAATTTTACGATCCGCTCGTTCGAGAAGGTTGAAGAATCGCGATGACGAATTCGCCACGTGGAGCGGTTTTGCTTTCGTTTGCAACGTCTTCTTCGACGCCCACGCCGTGGCACGCGTTCGCTTCTTCGAAATAGGGACCCGAATAAAATGTAGGCCGAGACGTGTTTCGACAACCGGTTTCTCAGGTGCAATGTGAATGCACTTTGGTCGCAATACGAAATCCACGAATATACTTTCTTCATTTTTTTTTTATAATTTATTTTTTTTTTATGAAAATTCCTTCTGTGGTTTTTAAGGGAAACAGATAATCTTTTAATATGTTCTGCGTTAATATCACATTAAGTAAATGATAATGTAGACTAGTTTAATGTACATATTGTTTATTAGGATGGTCATATGTGACTGGTCATATGTGCAAATTCAGTCAAATTAATTATTTAGAAGAAGAAGAGAAGAAATGTCGACACAATGATGTACAGATAATCTTTTAATATGTTCTCTATTAATATCACATTAAGTAAATGATAATGTAGACTAGTTTAATATACATATTGTTCATTAGGGTGGTCATATGTGACCGACACAGTAAATTCAGTAAAATTAATTATTTAAAAAAAAATCAGAAGAAATGTAGAAACAATGATACACAATAATAGATTAAAAAATGAAATTGAAATACTACCCTTAATTTTAAAAATTCCCCTTATAATATGTCTGAGTACAAACATCAAATTTCACTGTGGTCATCAAGGTGTCAATTACATTCTAATTTTTTATTAAAATACTGTAACTTGTTATTTAAAATGATTACTATAATTTTCAGTATAACTGAACATTTTATTTCTACATCATTTTTTTGTTCAACTTCATTGAATCAATTTTTGATACTCACAGAATGTTACCTTGCATCACTGTTGAAAAAATAGCGCTATTTAAAATGTATCTACAAAAATATTTTTAGACAGTGTTATTTTTAAAGAACATATGTATTTTTGATAGAGGGTAATTCTATTGAGCAGAGAATTCTTGATACTTTCTTGCTCCACTTGTTTTCGAGTAGTTTCAAACGATTATGTCATCTGAAATTCCCGACATGTTCTATACGCTCGCAGACACTCTCGATAGATTGTATCTGCTGATTCGATAGAATTCGCTCGTGATAAATTCGCTGACCGGGTCGAGGATTCGCGTGCTGACTCATGAACAGCTTAGAAACTGATGAATGTTCCCTGTCCATCAAGATCACGAACTGAGAGAAAGGAGAAAAATCTTTGGGGATTGAGAGTAGGGAGAAACGCGCTAGAATCGCTTGCAATTTACAACTTCGACAGGGTGCAATTAAAAATAATATAGAAAGGAGAAGAATTTGACTTATTAGCAAAATTGGGTTATCAAAAATAATGAGTGCTTGTTGTGACACAAATTGCAATTTACAACTTTAAAATGATGACGACTGAATAATATTAGAGTTTACGAGTGCCTCACAACGAATGTCTGTATCTACTGCAGCATCGTATGCCACACATGTCTGAATCCACTCCAGTGGCATAAGTATATCCAAAGAAACTAACAACAATTTTACAAATATTCATAAAATATCTTATCATTATTATCTCTTACATAAATGTCTTATTATTATTACACCATCCATTTTTTAATACCCAGAACATAAAAATTTGATCAAGAAAAGAAAGAACACACAGAACATAAAAATTCACGTAGCAAAAGATGTTAAGAAGGCCAGTAACCAGCGATCAATAAGGAAGTTATAAAAGCAAATGCTTCATAAAAATAAATTGCTCTTAGAAAGTAATTGAAAGGTTGCACCGTCGAAACGATTACAGGAAGCAGCAAATATAAAAACCGTATTGAGTCTGTACTTACGTCTTACCGTGTACGTAAATAACGCTTGCGTTAACATGCGAATAGATATGCATACATATAGACGGATGTATTCTGCTGAGAAACCTCAATGAATGTCACGTGCTTTGATGTGCAAAACAAACTTTCGAGGTTTGCCTCTGCTTTAGTTCACTTTTCGTCTTTCATGTTGCTTTTGGTGGGAATCACTTTCTGTCAGATAAAAATTTTATTTCCAAATCATTTCCGTATTTAACAAGTTTAATACTTTGTACTTTGCAAATTTCATACTTTGTACTTTGCGAGTTTAATACTTTGTACTTTGCAAGTTTCATACTTTGTACTTTGCAAGTTTAATACTTTGTACTTTGCAAGTTTAATACTTTGTAGTTTGCAAATATAAAATTTTTTTGAAGTGTTTGAATATTGAGTGTTGAGATATTAAAATGATGGATATTGGAATTGTGGTGTTAGAGTGGTTGGACATTAGGGGTTGGGAATTTCAAGTACTGGAATGTGGAAGTGGGGAATTTTAGAGTGATGGAATATTAGAGTAATGGGGTATTAGGGTAATTGGATAACTGGAGTGATGGGATATTAAAGTGCTGAGATGTTAGAGTGCGTGGATAGTCGAATGCTAGGATATTAGAGTGCTTGGACAACCGAGTGCTGGGATATTAGAGTGCTTGGATAACCAAGTGCTAAGATATTAGAGTGCCTAGATAACCGAGTGCTGACATGTTCGAGCGCTAGAATAGTCGAGTGCTGGATATCAGAATGTTGAGATTTTCGAGTGCTTGGATAGTCGAGTTCACAGACACTCAAGTGCTTGAATATCCGAGTGATGGAATACTCGAATGCTTGGACACCCCAGTGATACCTGATTGATGGGACACCTGAGTGATGGGATACCCGAGTGATGCGATACCCGAGTGATGGGATATCTGAGTGATGGGATACCTGAGTGATGGGATACCTGAGTGATGGGATACCTGAGTGATGGGATACCTGAGTGATGGGATACCTGAGTGATGGGATACCTGAGTGATGGGATACCTGAGTGATGGGATACCTGAGTGATGGGATACCTGAGTGATGGGATACCTGAGTGATGGGATACCTGAGTGATGGAATATCTGAGTGATGGAACACCTGAGTGATGGGATACCTGAGTGATGGAATACTTGAGTGATGAAACAATTGAGTGATGGGATACCTGAGCGATGGGACACCTGAGTGATGGGATACTTGAGTGATGGAATATCTGAGTGATGGAATAGCTGAGTGATGGAACACTTGAGTGATGGGATACCTGAGTGATAGGATACCTGAGTGATGGGATATTTGAGCGATGGGACACCTGAGTGATAGGATATCTGAGTGATGGGATACCTGAGTGATGGGACACCTTAGTGATGGGATACTTGAGTGATGGGATATCTGAGTGATGGAACACCTGAGTGATGGGATACCTGAGTGATGGAACACTTGAGTGATGAAACACTTGAGTGATAGGATACCTGAGTGATGGGACACCTGAGTGATGGGATACTTGAGTGATGGTATATCTGAGTGATGGAATAGCCGAGTGATGGAATACTTGAGTGATGGAATATCTGAGCGATGGAATACCTGAGTGATGGGACACGTGAGTGATGGGATACCTGAGTGATGGAATATCTGGATGCTAGAATATTCGAGTGCCGCATACTCCAGTTCTTAGATAACCTTGTGATGCAATATAATATTATAGTACCATTAAGTACCACACTCCCACACTAAATAAATACTAAATCTTACCAATTTACCCCTCCAATAAAAAATTCCCTCTCACCAAATTAATTTTGTCCATGTAACAGAGTTCCGCAGAAAGCGGTACATCGTCACCCTTAGCCACCGGACCAGCAGAATACATGATCGGACCCTACCGACCCGGAGATTACGAGTACGTAGGAGTTCCACTGGATCACTCGCAAACGGAGGAGGAATCCAGTGGACCCAGCACCGCGGAAATAATCGCGAACCAAAGTCAAGATTACGTGGATGAAAAGTTAGCCGAGTACCAGGCCACGATACAGCAGCTTCAAAGTGAGTACCAATTATTCCTTCTGTTCCTTTCGAGCTAATAATAATCGATGCTATAACTGGTTTATCGCATTGAATATTCCGATCGTCGGTTAGCGATAACGAGAGCTAGGTCGATTGATTATTGAACACTGTGACGCGAAATTCTGATCTATTTCTGAGTATGAACACCTCTGGCGGAAGCAATTCTTGAAGGCATTAATCATGCATTTATAACCGAATGCTAAATATTTGCAATATACTATATTTTTATATTTAAATCTTGCATTTACATTTTTAGTACATTGTTATGATATCGTGTTTGAACGTTGATTTATTTATTTTATGAAAAATAGAACATATGATACTTCGATTGTTTGACTCTGACTCTAAACAGGGAAAAACCCATTCAAAAGCAAGGTTGTATATATTTCGGGAATCTTTTAATAGTCGACAATCTGAATGCAAATTAGCGAGAGTATGGCTCGAGAGAAACAGTTTTTATTGGCATTCATCTGCGGTGAATGTTATTTCTGTACAACGTTCAAGATAGACATTGACAATGATCTAACCGACCAAAAACCGATGTTTCCGATGCGCGAATGCTTTTGGCAAGCGCGGAGTCAATGAAAGTCAGCCTGCCAATTCACAAAGTGCATCCTGCGATATTGATCCCTAATATATTTCACGAATTTTAATTTCCATTTCTTCCAATATTGTCTGCATTGATTATAACAAGTTTTTGCAATTCTCTATCGTCTTACCAATCTATACGTGAACGCAGCATTGAATTTTGCAATCGAGTAATTAGCACACAACTAATTAAACCAATCGTGTTTAATCTTCTGGAAAACAAGTTCATTGCACAATGATTTCGCTGCAGGATCGATATCCTTCATAAACCGAGATATTCGGTCACACGTGTGGACGTTGCTCGTCTGTCTTCGAATTCGAAGGAGAGCAAATATTATGCCAACATTTCGACCGGCTTAAAAGATTTACGCACGCGGTGAACCCATTACTAGCACACTTCTCAGAAATGTTTATATAATTCCCATTACTTATATCCGGAATCTATATAACACTGATAGGTTCAAAAAATATAGATACTGATACGTGAGAGGGAGAAGATTAACTGGCTATATAAAGATATTTAGAGTATTTACAGTCGAAATTTTTATTGGGAGCTATAGAATTGATGGTAGGCGTGACATAGTAAAGTGCTAGAACTTATAGCACTGCTATGTGGATCATAGATATTAGATATTAGAGTGAGAGCATCATAAGAGATACTTATGATGAGGTAGAGTGCTAGATGTGATTTTAGAGTGCTTATGATGAGATAGTAGAGTGCAGGAGGTGATATCAGAGTACTATGATGTTACAGTAATGGGATAGTAATACAGGGGTATTATAGAAGTAGTCTAAATGTACTGTGGTATCAACACAATATTGTAGTAGACTACTAGGGTGTAATAGGTGACAGGATGCTGGAACATTGGGATACTGAAATGTTGGTATAATAGAATATGGGAATACTCGAATGTAGAGATGCTGAGGTGGGATAATACAATGTTGGGATACTCAAATGTGGGGATAGTGGAACGTGGGGACACTGGAACGTGGGGATACTGAAGGTTGAATGCTAAAAAGTGGGGACAGTGCAATATGAGGATAGTGGAAGGTAGGTATAGTGGGTCAGGGGGGTACTGGAACGTGACAATACTAGAAGGTGGGGATACTGGAACGTGGGGGTACCAGAAGGTGGGGATACTGGAACGTGGGGGTACCAGAAGGTGGGGATACTGGAACGTGGGGGTACCAGAAGGTGGGGATACTGGAACGTGGGGGTACCAGAAGGTGGGGATACTGGAACGTGGGGGTACCAGAAGGTGGGGATACTGGAACGTGGGGGTACCAGAAGGTGGGGATACTGGAACGTGGGGGTACCAGAAGGTGGGGATACTGGAACGTGGGGGTACCAGAAGGTGGGGATACTGGAACGTGGGGGTACCAGAAGGTGGGGATACTGGAACGTGGGGGGATAGTGGAGCGTGGGGGTACTGGAACGTGAGAATACTAGAAGGTGGGGATACTGGAACGTGGAGGTACCAGAAGGTGGGGATACTGGAACGTGAGGATACTAGAAAGTGGGGATAGTGGAACGTGGGGATACTGGAATGTGGGGATACTAGAAGGTGGGGATAGTGGAACGTGGGGGTACTGGAACGTGGGGATACTGGAAGGTGGGGATAGTGGAACGTGGGGGTACTGGAACGTAGAGATACTAGAAGGTGGGGACAGTGGAGCGTGGTGGTACTGGAACGTGGGGATACTAGAAGGTGGGGATAATGGAATGTGGGGATACTAGAAGGTGGGGATAGTGGAGCGTGGGGGTACTGGAACGTGAAGATACTAGAAGGTGGGGATAGTGAAGCGTGGAATACTAGAAGGTAGAGATAGTGGAACGTGGGGATACTAGATGGTACGGATAGTGGAGCGTGGGGGTACTGGAACGTGAGAATACTAGAAGGTGGGGATACTGGAACGTGAAAATACTAGAAGGTGGGGATACTGGAACGTGGAGATACCAGAAGGTGGGGATACTAGAACGTGGGGGTACCAGAAGGTGGGGATACTGGAACGTGAGGATACTAGAAAGTGGGGATAGTTGAACGTGGGGATACTAGAAGGTGGATTCACTGAAACGTGGGGATACTAAAACGTTGAAATGCTAGAATCTGAGGATAATGGTACATAGTAATACTGGAAATTTATGGTGCTGAAATACTAGCTTCCTAAAACTAAACTCCTAAATCATTAAAACACTAAACTACCGACGCACCGAAAAATTGAAATACTAAAATAGTGAAACGCTTACTTCAATCCTAAGATACATTCTACATTTCACAAATTCCAAAGAATATTAAAATATCCTCCAGCATCAAGCCACAAAGACTAAGAAACAGATTATAATACTCAGCCTACCCAACGTTTAATGACAGTTCACTACGCAATAAAATTTGAATTATCCCAAGAATCTACCTTCATCTACGAAATACAAGAATTATTCCATTTAGCCGACCTACCGCAACAACTGGCTCCGTAACAATTTGCATATGTACATCGGTTGAAACGAGACCGATTCGCGAACTTTCGCATGCTGCAAACGCGTATCAATCGGTATCTTGTGCTAGCGTGTGTGATTCGCATACTTATTCGCTGAACCGTGCAGAAGAAATAGAAGACGATGGCTCGGCTATTTATAAATAGATGTGACGAAGCACCTGCCGTTGCTGTTCACTATCGCCACGATTGACTTTTTCTCCTTGGACGCGCGGAAATTATCGACGAATTAAGAAGATTGATCGATTTCGATGATCCTTCTCTGCGTGAAATCTTACTGCCGATAATAATTCACTAAATTGAGGCTTCATTATTTCTTGCCAATAAATATTTTTGAAACTGCTAGATAGATACTGATATCGGACTGCTTTCTTTTGTTGATAATAAAGATAATTTTTGTTATTGCTGAGCTTAAGGTGGATCTGGAGTAATATCCGGTAATTAGGGAATGAGAATTATTTTTTAAATGTGACTTTAGGTGAGTCAGTTAAGATTATATTTTGTGCTGTGGATAATTTTGTAAAACTGTAAAACTGAACAGGTGTGAGTATTATATTGAGACGTAGACTACTACATGTCTGGACCTTTCAATTCCTATACATCTAGCTAAATTCCCAAATCCCTCAGACTGAGATCATTACATTCCAAAATCCCTATATCCCTAAATGTCTACACCCCAAGATCTCTACATCTACAGATCCCTAAAATCCCAGAATCCTAGAATCCCAGATCTCTAGACCTCCAGATTCCTACACCTTCAGATCCCTATAATATCAAATTCCTGGACCTCCAGAACCCTAGACCCCCAGATCTCTTCACCCCTAGATGCCTGAACTTACAGATCTCTAGAGCCCCAGATCCCTACATCCCCAGATCCCTAAAATGCCAAATCCCTAAACCTCTAGATCTCTACTCCCTCAGATCCCTAATCCTCCAGATCCCTAATCTTCAGATCTCTAAACCTCCAGATCCTTAGACCTCCAGATCTCTAAACTTCCAAATCCCTGGACCACCAAATCTCTAAACCCCCAGATCCCTAATCCTGCAGATCCCTAAATCTCCAGATTCCTAAAATGCCAAATCCCTAAACCTCCAGATCTCTACACCCCCAGATCCCTAAAATGCCAAATCCCTAAACCTCCAGATCTCTACACCCCCAGATTCCTAAAATGCCAAATCCCTAAACCTCCAGATCTCTACACCCTCAGATCCCTAATCCTCCAGATCCCTAATCTTCAGATCTCTAAACCTCCAGATCCTTAGACCTCCAGATCTCTAAACTTCCAAATCCCTGGACCACCAAATCTCTAAACCCCCAGATCCCTAATCCTGCAGATCCCTAAATCTCCAGATTCCTAAAATGCCAAATCCCTAAACCTCCAGATCTCTACACCCCCAGATCCCTAAAATGCCAAATCCCTAAACCTCCAGATCTCTACACCCCCAGATCCCTAAAATGCCAAATCCCTAAACCTCCAGATCTCTACACCCCCAGATCCCTAAAATGCCAAATCCCTAAACCTCCAGATCTCTACACCCCCAGATCCCTAATCCTTCAGATCCCTAAACTTCCAAATCCCTGGACCACCAAATCTCTAAACCCCCAGATCCCTAATCCTGCAGATCCCTAAATCTCCAGATTCCTAAAATGCCAAATCCCTAAACCTCCAGATCTCTACACCCCCAGATCCCTAATCCTTCAGATCCCTAAACTTCCAAATCCCTGGACCACCAAATCTCTAAACCCCCAGATCCCTAATCCTGCAGATCCCTAAATCTCCAGATCCCTCAAATGCCAAATCTCTAAACCTCCAGATCTCTACACCCCCAGATCCCTAAAATGCCAAATCCCTAAACCTCCAGATCTCTACACCCCCAGATCCCTAAAATGCCAAATCCCTAAACCTCCAGATCTCTACACCCCCAGATCCCTAATCCTCCAGATCCCTAAATCTCCCAGATCTCCAGACTCCCAAATACCTAAACCCCCAAGTCCCTATCCCCCCAATAGCCTAATCCCCCATCTTCAATCCTAATAAGATAAAATAATCCAAAGAAGTAAATCGAATACAATGACACAATTCCGGTTGTTTTGCTTACCAGTCACGATTATCATTGAACACGTATTACGCAACGATGATTTGTCGATAACGCGTCACTGTTTCGCGGAATGGTACCGCTGATAAAACTTGTACCGTTTCTTACCATGTTCCACAAACGATATCGGCTTAACTCCACATTTTTTCCTGCATTTTGCTGGCACAGTACTTCCACGAAGTAGTTTGTATTAAACGAACCTTAACCAATGATATTGTTCGCTATTTATGAATCTTACGACATGTTTATTGGGACGTTTTTAAACGACAAGCTAAGAACCAAAGGTAAAATGTTAATTCGAAATTGTGAACCTCGATTAATCATGTTCTGCATCGCTTAATTCCAAGATTTTATCTCCTGTATTAATAAATATTCTTCGGAGAAGCTGCGTGGGTGTCCTCCGTCTATTTTCTCGCAGAAAATACTCTGTTTGTTCTACCGATGGCCATTACCAACGGCAATTCACCTTCATTCAACAGTCGGACTGAAAATAAAAAAAGCGTCTTCAATTACGGCTCGTCATCGCGCGAAATAGAACCGCGAGTAGCCGGTTAATTTGTTAGCAACAAACTATGTAACGCGATCGCCGTTTTAATGATCGAAATTCTGTTTCTCGGTGAATATTTACCGGTTCTTTGCAAAACTGCCAGGAACCTCTTGCCAAGTGAACAGATGTGCAAATATCCGCTCATTATCGACTGCTAAACCATTCATTCGTTAAGCTATGCGATTCGAAATATTTTGAAAACTCAAGAGCGTTCGACCCTGAACATCTGGACACTGGTCAATGTTTTGAAATACTGTAAACAGTGGCCCTTAACGCGAGCGCAAATGTATTTCGATGCAAGGATAGAGTTATGGTGCGTGGAATTACGATGCGTGCAGTTAGGAGGCGCAGCGTTATGGCGCGTGGAGTTATGGAACATGAAACTACGGCGCGTGGAATTACGGACGGTGCGATGGACGGCCCATAGGGTTACAGTACTGGAAATTATAACGCGTAGAGTTATGACGAGTGAAGTTACGATGCGTGAAGTTACGAATGCGTGGAATTACGACGCTTGAAGCTACGATGCGTGGAATTACGGCGCTTGAAGCTGCAATTCGTGGAAGTACGGCGCATGAAGATCACCGTCTAGAACTTCAAAAGATACATGGAATTATTTAGCGCGGAATTAGAGTGCGTTTAAGTACGACACGTAAAAAATTACAATGCATGCAAGTGCAACGCATGGAATCATAGCACATGGAACTACGCGACGTGAAGTTAATATAAGAAGTTTAAACGCCTGGAATTACAATGCTTGGAATTACAACGTGTGAAATTACGGCGTGTGGGAGTACGACGCATGGAATTATAGCGCATGAAGCTGCAACGCGTGGGATTACGGCGTGTGAAAGCACAGCGCGTGGAAATATGACGCAGCAGGTGGAACTACGACGTGTGGAGTTACGGCGCGTGGGATTATGACGCGTCGAATTACGGCGCATCGAATTACAGTGCGTGAGGTTGTGGCGCGTGGACTTGCGTAGAACTATGATGCGTTACGATGCGGAGCTGCATGTGCTTCAACGATTTCCGTGAAATCACGCGTTGAATTATACCGCAATGTAAATCGTACGTACACCTGTTATAACAGAAAACGCATTACCAGAAGAATAGGCCACATTATCCAGAATTCGCAAGTTATCTCGTATCTAGTCGATCGGAGCTATCGAACCATCCAAGTGATGAAAGTCAAGGACGAAGGTGGTACCACGAGTCGGAGATCGAAAAACTGTCTCGAAAGAGGAATAACCAATTAGAATCGTTAGACGGTAGTTGGCGACGTTCAAACGGCGCGGCGCCGAGTGACATTTAGCTCGCCAGAGGAGAAGGACGCAGGATAAAGCATCGATCGGTCGGCGTGTTCTCATCAGGAAGGTTAGCTCGTCCAGACAGAGAGAAGGATAGTCGGTGGTCGGGTGTAGACGACGTACGGTGGCGCATGGTTCGCGTCGTCACGAACGTCGTCATCGTGGCTCGTCGCGGCTCTTGGTCGTCGTCGTGGTCCTCGTCATCGTGCAATGCGGATCGTGGACAGCGGGAACTGGCGGCCGGGGGGAATAGGAGGGCACGGAGGGCACGGCATGGCGGAACGAGGTGGGGACCCGGCGAGAGGTCGGGAAGAGAGGCAGCAATATCGAACCGGCGGCCGTGGTGCGCGGCCAGAGTGCATTCCGTGTGAGCGGTAGACGCGTATCGCACATAGTCGCGAGCGGCCGACATGCGTGAGCACGTAGCTCGTGCGAGGTAACCTCCTCGTTCGTACGCACGCGAAAACGAGCGGATTCGAAGTCACACGCGCGCGACACAGCCGGAGGAGTAAAAGAGAGGAAAAAACGAAATACGTACACCGGTGTGTTTTTCGCGTCGACCGGCGAGTTGGAGGCGCGGCCGCNNNNGCCGCCGATGTACGCATGGTGGTGCGGGTAGGGTGTGGTGTGCGAAGAACAGGTGTCCACGAGCGGTTAGCTCGACCGTGAAACGAGCCAGAAGCCGGAAACGGACGCGTCGGTACGCGTTCGTGGCCAGTATGAATTTTCGAGGTGGCTAGCCGCGAAGAACAGAGAAAAACAGCGGCTCCATGTCGACGCCACCGAAGAGCGGAAGTCCAGCCGGC